TAAACGATTGACAGACGACGATAACATGTTGAAGAGTGGAATTATTATCTGTAGGCCGTATTACCGTTTTTCAAAGAACGTTATCGGTATTCAGTATCTCCAATAATAATATTATTAATAACTTTATTTTATACAACAAAATCGTTTTTTTTTTTTTTTTTTCATAGTTGTATGTACATGTTATCTTGTACCGCCTGCTTGAGACTCATAGAGCAATGCGAATTTTACTGTGTAAGGTGTAACTCTGTGTTGAGACGTCCTATGAACAAAGTTATTAACTATTAAGTGGTGATATTTCTCTTGGAAATTAATATAATACTCGTGTTTATTTTAATTTATTTATATTTTCTATAAAATGTCAACTCGTAAGAGCAATTGTGCTAATACTTTAACAAACTATTTTAATAAAAAAATAAAAACAACCCATGACGGAAATGCAGTCTGTACTTCAAGTCCAGTATTGACTGCAATCACACCAGGTACAACAGAAAAATCTAAGAGTGATGTAGCTGATATTGGTTGCTGTTTTGATCAAAAGGTTAGTGATGAATTAAAATATAAGTTACTTTCTAATGTTTGGATTCCTGATGAAAAGTTTAAATTTCCTATATCAGGAAATAGAAAGTTAAAATTTCAATTAAATTGGATTAATCGATTCCCTTGGTTATGTTACACTAATATGCAAGGTTCTGGAGCGGTGTGCAAATATTGTGCTATATTTTATCATAACTTTACCGGTAAAGGTGCACATCAAAAACCCGGCGTATTAGTAACAAAACCATTCAATAAATGGAAAAATGCAATTGAAATTTTTAGCACACATAAGGACACAGAGTATCATAAAAACAACGTTTTTTTTGCTGAAAATTTTATTTCCATATATTGCAACAAACAGTTAGATATTTGTCAAAAAATTGATTCGGCACGTGCTAATCAAATAGTTGAAAATAGAAAAAAATTAACACCAGTTATTCAAACAATAATTTTGTGTGGTCGTCAAGAATTGGCTCTTCGTGGTACATCTGATTCTGGACCACTCACTTTAAATGAGCCAGTTCACAATGATGGTAATTTTAGAGCTCTTCTGCGAATGCGAATGAACTGCGGTGATAAAATGATGACTGATTGTATTGAAAATGACACATTTAAAGCTATGTATTTAAGTCCTACTATTCAAAATAATTTAATTGATATAATTGGAAAAATAATTCAAAATTGTTTAGTGGATAGAATCAATAGGGCAAAATCATTTTCAATTTTAGTAGACGAGACGACTGATATATCGCGAATTGAACAAATGTCACTTTGTATTCGATATATCGATGAAGATCCTGAACATCAATTCATTTTACGTGAAGATTTTTTAAAATTCGTGTCGGTAGAAAATACGACTGGTAAAAATTTAGCCAATATCATTTTAGATAGTATTAAATCTCTTGGAATAAATCCGAAGTATATGGTAGGACAAGGATACGACGGGGCGGCTGCAATGAGCGGAAATTTCAAAGGAGTGCAAGCAATTATTCGAAAAGAATATCCGGCCGCGCTTTACGTACACTGTAGTGCTCATTCTTTAAATTTGGCTCTCTCTCATTCCTGTAGTATTCAACATATTCGTAACTGTATTGGTACCATAAAATCGGTAGGAAATTTCATTAAAGGTTCAGCAATGCGAACCGAAATTTTAAAAAAATACATTAAAGAACAATTTCCTGAATCTAAGTGGACCAAACTTACATCAATGTGCGAGACACGTTGGGTAGAAAATCTTGACGGACTAATAAGATTTACAGAAATTTATGGGGCAATTGTTAATACATTGGAAGAATTACAGTTCACTCGTATTATTGAAACGTCATCAAAAGCATTACAATTTGGAAAAACTATTATAACCAGTGATTTTGTAATAAGTATGGTCTCAGCATCTATACTTTTTTCCTTAACATTGCCACTGTGTAAGAATTTACAGTCTGTAAATTGTGATTTAACCGAAGCAATGGCGTATGTTGATATTGTACNTATAACCGAAGCAATAGCGTATGTTGATATTGTACTACACGAAATAAATGATATGCGAAGTAATATGGATAATACATTTTCCAATATTTTTAAAAAAGCTGAGGCTCTTATAAAATCAATTGATGACGAAGAATGTATAAGAATACCTAGAATTGTTGGACATCAAAAAAATCGAAGTAATATTGTCGTGAATTCACCTGAAGAATACTACCGTATTACAATAGCTATTCCTTTTTTTGACGACTTCATTGAACAGCTTCAAACAAGGTTCAATAATCATAAAAAAATAATTTCTTCATTGCACAAGTTATTACCAAAAACATGCGATAAATTTGAATTTAATTTAAATGATTTGGAAATATATTCAGAATTTCTGGATTTAAAAGTACTGCCACAAGAAATTAAACTGTGGAAAAGAAAATGGACTGGCAAACTAGATGTAGACCGTCCAAATTCGGCTATCGAAGCGTACATTAAATGTAATTATGAATATTTTCCAAATGTATCTTTTCTTTTGAAAATATTAGCTACATTACCAGTTTCGACTTCTACACCAGAGCGCTCATTTTCTACTATGAAAAGGCTAAAAAACTTTTTACGAAATTCATTTGGTCAAGAACGTCTTACAGGTCTAGCACTTTTGAGTGTGCATAGACAAATTAAAATAAATCCAGACGATGTGATCGACAGTTTTGCAAAAGAAAAAAAAAGACTGATAGACTTTGTGCTATAAAAATGTATTATTTTAAAATTAAAACTGAAAAATGACTCATAAAATTTTGTATTGTATTGTATTTTAACTTTAGTATACTTCAAAAGGTAAATTTTGTAAAATAATGACAAAGGTAGGTCATAACATAAAGTATATCTTGTTGTATAACCTAACTTAATAGTAAGACAATTTTTTTTTGTTTATGTTATGTATTAGTATTTTTTTTTAATTATTTAAAAACATATAATTTGGTTAAAACCCCCCCCCGAAAATTTGTTCCAGCTACGGCCTTGGTTCGCACATTAGCTCACATTACCCATAGGGTACATTGTCNTGATAAGGCTTCGAAAACATAGGTGTTTATTAAGAGCATACTGCAACCGGTCATTAACGTCCCTATTGATAAAAACTTGACAGTTAACTACCATATGTTCACCTTTACATGCTGTGCATTGTTTCGATATATTTATGTTATTGACCGGTTTTGTGGTAACGAGCGAAATTACCGGAACCCGACTATTTTTCTCATTACCATGCAAATTATCATGAACATGGCGACAATCTTGAACATTTTCTAAAACAGCTACTCGTCTTTTTACAAAATTAATTACATCATCGGCTAAAGGATATTCGGCTACCGTTTCAGCATCGAAACATTTACGACTTGATGTCGGTAAGCAACGGGAGCATAGTGCAAACAAAATAAAAGACCCTATATCCGGTTTATTTAATTATTTAGCAAAGAAATACTCTCGTCCAAAGTTTCAAAAAACGTATTTAATTCGGTAATACTTTCTTGATGCAAAATTTGTACCGATAGCATTTTGTCGACTAAAACAGATGCCACTCTCTGTGGCTTATCATAACGGTTGGATAGAGTCAACCAAGCTAATGCATAATTATGTGCCGATACTGGAATACCATTTATTACGTCCGCGGCGCTACTACCTTCGAGACAGGCAATTAGAAAATCAAATTTATCATTATCGTGAAAGTTCTGCTGATCAATAAGTAAATTAAAACGATCACGGAACGTGTGTAATCGCCATTAAAACGGGGTAGTAGCATATTTGGCATTTTTAGGGGACGTTTTTCCATAATTTGAACCAAACCCGCGTCTGAATTGGTTTCGCTGAACACCGACACCTTTGCCGACGGTGGAACGCGATCTACTTCAGACTGATACTTAAGCCTCGTTGCTTTAATCAAAGTTACGCACTCGCGTACTTCAAGTTGAAGTGCTGTTATATACTCTAACCCGAGGCCTAAGTTAAGCAACGCATCTATTAGGGGACGGATTCAAACTAAAGCGTGTCCATATGGCGAGCTGCCACGATAAAATTTTTTTTAAGAGCCGGTGCAGTAATAACATGACATGATAAATCGTACATAGCTTTAATATGTGACACTGCGGTTGAATATCTAAGTAATGCGTGACCTTTAGCGAGTCTAAAAGCGGCGTCGTCAGTTATAATAAACAATTAAGAGAAATGTAAAAATTTCAATAGTTAACTGNCAATTAAGAGAAATGTAAAAATTTCAATAGTTAACTGTTATTAAATTAAGTAATTAAATTAATACATACACATATCAAAGGAAAAGACCAACAATACTGACCACATTATTAACGGTACAAATATTAATAAAAACATCAATACGCACCCAAACCTTTTCTATGAATGATGAGTGATGTTAATCACTGTCTGATAACTATACTTATCACCGATAGGAATTCGATAGTTGTAGTTACTAGTGAAAGATAATACAGATNGACGAGTCGTTGTTTAAAATAAGTAAAATTGTTGACAAAATGAATAATGTAAAAATTATAGTATCGAAAACGGGCGTTAAAACATGATTGCCTTTTTTATTTTGACGTCAATAGCTCGGGCTACATTATATTATATTATAATATAATATAATAAAAATGGTAGGAATAGTAATAAATATCCTTAATTCTCAACATAGCTATATCCCTATCAGGAATCTTAGTATGTTCTATTTTATAGTTTTAATTTAACTGATCATTAACTTTTTCGGATTAAGGCCAATATTTATTTCTTTTAATATAGAAAACATAAATATTATAAAATTTATATAAAATAATAATATATTATTACCTGAATTTATTAGTTTATTAGAATTCAAGTAAAAGTAAAATAAAACGTAATTAAACAACACCATACATTTTTATCTATTTTTATTTCTAGAACAAATCAAAATAATACATTGTATACAAAAAAAAATAATTCGAAAATATTAGCCTGGATAATAATATTAAGTTTTTAATTAAAAAATTTCTCTCAAAAACCTCCAACATTACTGTTAGCAATTGGTTTTAAAAACATAGAAAGTACAAAGTCAAGGTATGATCCGGTTGTCTGTTCGTTTTAGACAAACCGGTAACCTCAGCTCATCTTGATGACTCTTCGATTACACACTAACTATGCTCAGGAGCGGTTGACTTATTAATTACCACTTGCCATTGTTTATTCAAGCTTTACTTTTCGATTAATTTTTATTTAGTTATCCCATTCATCTAGAGAAAAGTATTCCGATGACGTATCGGAGCTAGAACTGCTCGACATCATACTTGCCCGACGAAACATTGGAATACCTAATGGGTTCATTCTTTCAAAATCATTTTCGTTTATTTTTGGATTTTCTATTACTGAAACTACTGGCTTCACCGGCTATAAAATATTATACTAAGATTGTATATATTTTTAAATATTTTATTTTGACTACTTGAGTCAAGCAACAGATTGTGAAAACACCACTAAGCAGTTAAATAAATACCAGATCACTTATGTGAAGGATTAGATAATTTAAAAAAAAAGATACCCGGATAATAAATAGNATATTCATTTCATATTCCTTTCATGAGTATGACAAAAAGTTAAAAAACGTAAAAAAAATTCATTACAAAAAAATATATATTTTTTTATACATTTTATCTGAAGTATTTGAATTGTAATTAAAAATCTTTATTTTTATGAAGCATTCAAAATGCGATTCATTAATATATGATCCACTTCATAAGTATGATATAAAAAAAAATTGAATTATAATCATTAAAATACTATATCGATTTTAGACATTTACTTTGCTTACATTAAGCTATAATATATAATTTGCACTATACTCAATTATTAATTATTAAAAATNCGATACTCTATTATTAATTGTTAAAGAGGTTTACCTTCAATTTCACGCCGCGTTTGATTTCCTCTATAAGATTTTTTGGTAGAGCTGCTGGTCTATAAACCTTACCTTTGCTTTTTACATTGTTTTCTGATTTTAGTGGCATTAGTAGAGTATGAGGAGGTGGTGAAGGAATGATATCTGGAAAATATTCATATTTAGTTAACATAAACAGTGACTTTGTATGTATTTATACAAGTACTATCCAATGGGTTCATTCCTTGAAGATTTTTGTCATGTATATTTGGTTTTTCTAATACTTTNAAAATGCGATTCATTAATATATGATCCACTTCATAAGTATGATATAAAAAAAAATTGAATTATAATCATTAAAATACTATATCGATTTTAGACATTTATTTTGCTTACATTAAGTAATAATATAAAACTTGAACGATACTCTATTATTAATTGTTAAAGAGGTTTACCTTCAATTTCACGCCGCGTTTGATTTCCTCTATAAGATTTTTTGGTAGACCTGCTGGTCTATAAACCTTACTTTTGTTTTTTACATTGTTTTCTGATTTTAGTGGCATTAGTAGAGTATGAGGAGGTGGTGAAGGAATGATATCTGGAAAATATTCATATTTAGATAACATAAACAGTGACTTTTTATATATATATATACAAGTACTATCAAAAGGGTTCAATCTTCGAAGATTTTTGTCATCTATAATTGATTTTTCTAATACTTTAACCATTGGACTTACCGGCTATATAAAATTAAAAAATCAAACACATATACTAACTGTTATAATTAATATACTCATTTTAACATTTAATATATTGAGGTAATTGTTTTGCTTACATAAAGCTATATTATATAATTTGTACTATACTCAATTATTAATTATTAAAAATTTTACCTTCAATTTCACGCCGCGTTTGATTTCATCTATAAGATTTTTTGGTAGACCTGCTGGTCTATAAACCTTACCTTTGTTTTTAATATTATTTTCTGCTTTTTGTAGCGTTGGTAGAGTTTGGGGAAGTGGTGGAGCAGAAGGAATTAAATCTAAAAAATTTACATATTTATATTGTACTTAAATTTATAAATGTACTATCATTTTTTTTGCAGTTTTTTTTATTAAATTAAAATATATAGATTTACCATTATTTTGCTGCATATCCTTTAACTCGGTTAATGTTTTGTTTATCTTTATTTCGTCCGTCTTGCGTTTTTCTTGACCATCAATATTTTTTATCAAGTAATCGGAAGATTCCAATAAATATTTCTGAACAATTTCCTGAACGATTTCGGACATTAAATCATCAATGTGATCTATTAAAGTAAATTTTGGTAAAATTATGGATACTTTAAGAAAAATAATAAGTTGTGTAGTCGGAGTATACTTCCTTATTTTTTAAACTAACTCAAATATTTTTATAGAATAATATTTTAAAATATAAATATCTACTTCGAATAATGATTTCTAATTTTGGGTCATCTAAAATTTCGCGTTTTATTGACTCCTTTATATCGGTTATTTTGTCAGCCATAGTTTCTATTCCATTGTCGCGTTTTACTGGTACTGTAATGTAATATTAATATAAAGTATGAATATATTAAGATAGCTTAAGAGTGGTGTAGTTTTAGGTACACTTAAATTTTACCACTTTAAAATATTACATTTACATAATCAATATGTATATTTACCCTATAGAAAATCTAGACCCAGGTGTACATATGAATCGTTCCTAACATGTAAACGTTTATACAGATTATTATAAACTCAATATTATTAATCTATTAAATAGGATAATTTTTCTATCAGAAATTATTTACACAATAAAAATAATTTGAATATTTTTATTTTTTTTTATACTTAGTATCATTACTTAAGTCACGTATTATTCTTGAACTATTAACTATTTAATACAATTGAAGTGTATCTTTTATTCATTGTAAGGAACTTAACTTTGTTTTTTCAAACGCGAACATATTATTTGAATGTAATAAAATGTTTCAAGTTGTGTTTTAATAGTGAATGAATTTTAAATTTAAACGTATTAAAGAAAATGTTTGGCCCGCCAAATAATATGATAATTAACTGAAAAATAAGTAATTATAATTTTTCATAACTACAAACCATCTCTCCTTTCATCGGTGTTACTGTTGGATTGCACTACCAGATTTTTTTTTTTCAATAACGCTGAGTCTCCACTCGCATCAATATTGTCATCAGGCGTATTGAAATTGGCTACAACATTTTTTTCAGTTTGTCTGGCACATAACTTCCTAACAAATTTTATAACTCTTCTAAATACGCCTTTTTTGGATATCATATTATATTTTATAGAAATAAAAACACTATTATTTACTCTTTAAATTGTACTAAACCAAAATAATTAAATAATGAATTATTAGACTGAAATTTATATAGAAAATAAACTATTATTGTATCATAGAAATTTAAAATAGTAATATCAATTTTTTATACGCCAATTGCTATCTTTTTAATTGTGTACTATGAAAACAATTAAAAAATGACATATTTTTTAGCTTATTTCTTTCTTTTTTTGTATCTTAAATTAATACCCTAAATGTATTTTAAGAAATTGTAAAGAGGTGTTCTCTACACTATTTAAANCTAAATGTATTTTAAGAAATTGTAAAGAGGTGTTTTCTACACTATTTAAATACTAAATAAAAACTAAACGTAAATTTAAAACTAAAAAAAAATTTACATTCATACATATAATAATTCCCAAAATTGATAAAATATTCTATATTTTATTAATATCTAAATATAATATTAAATTTGATCCATAGTTGACTATTTATTATAAAATATTTTCCTACAATAGGTAGACGGGTAATTCAGATTATGCTATACAAGGGTAATATTTAGACTTTAATAAATTATGAATATATTCTCCTCTTAAATATTTAAAATTAATTTAATCATAAAAAAATTTAAACATTTTAATATGCTCATGTTCTAAGCCTGTTGTTGCAATTGTACTGTAACTGTTAATAATAAATCGAAATACGTATCGTGTAAAATGTATTCACTTTTAGGTCAAAACAATGTTATGAGACATCTGTAACGACAACACACTACGCGTTAAAACTCCGACTTTATTCTAATCAACCTCATCATTGTTGCTCTATTTTAAAATTGATCATTCATTAATTGAACTATACGTAGATTCATCACATTTATGTACCAAGCCGGTATGAACACTTCATCAAAATAGCCAAAAGATGTCGAAAATTAGCTATTTTTAAATTTGTAATTTTTTTGGAGATTACCCCTATTAACGGGGAACGAGGAAAATTTTTTCTATTTTTAGGGTAAAGTCTTCGATTATATTTGATTTGTGATCTTTCGACGTTTCGTTGAAAGAAATCGGTTCGGTGAGAGCTGAGAAAAAGTTACAGACACAAAAAAACACATCATATTGCCGTAACACAATAAAAGAAAAGAAACAAACGATGTAAATGTATATGTAATTGTGATGCGAAGATGAATATGAGGATGTGGTGCCTGCTGTCTAGGTATTCACGTGCGTGTTGTCGTACAGCAGTCACCGTACTCGGCTGACACTCCGGGTTAGCTGTGGGTGTCGAAAGGCTGTTGTTATAGGAAGTGAATAAGGGTAACACCTAGGTATGAGGTACAGACAAAGTGCAAGACACAAGTACTTTAGTTATTAAGAGAGGATAATGAAGTACGAGGTGCAGACGAAGTGCAAGACACAAATACTTGGCGTACCAGGTGAGGAAAAATAACAGAGTACGAAGTGCAAGACACAAGTACTCTGAAATGTTGTGGAAGAGAGTAGATAGGTTAAAAAGGAAATAAATATAGTTTAAAAGCGTGTTTTTTAGTTTTTTTAAACTATATTTATTTTTCACTTTTTAGTTACATGTTATGATAGTAGTTTCTATCAATATCATGGTTGTAACGGGTAAAGGGAAATCAGGGTTCGATTCCGGAGTGGGAGTTTGAGAAACGGCTACCACATCCAAGGAAAGCAGCAAGCTCGCAACGTGGAGGTAGTGACGAAAAATGACAATACGGCAATCATTCCCCGTAATCGGAATAAATACACTATATATCTCTTAATGAGAATATAGCGTATTAATATATAAGTTTTAATAGTAATTAAAATATATATATATAT